CCACCGTAATCGCGGATGCTAAGCTGACAGCGGGAAAAGCACTCTAAATGATATCACCACTGAAACATCTTACTGTGCTGATGTTTCTCAAACAATATAAAAATTTCAAAATTAATGTGTTATTTCACTTTCACATGCTTTCTGAAGACAAGTGACTTTAACTATCTATAAATCGGCGGTTCGTTGTTGTTGTTGCTGGATCGATTCCTGAATTTAGCCCGGGACACTTTCCTTGCTAATTGAAGGAATCGATCCAGCTGAGTCCCAGCTGAATAAGTGCCATATTAAACAAACGTAACCTTTGAAGCCGCGAGGAACGTTTAATGGCAATGACTTAAAAACAGCATTAATATTCCAAATTACACTCGACGTCCATACATCGTGGGCTGGAGATTCGATCGCATAGAGAGTTTGGCGACAGGAATGGTCACTTCTCCACACAGGCTTACTAGGCTACACTTTAAAAAAAGAACCAAATTATGATTGCCGACAATGCAGCAGCTATAAGGCAAAAGGCGAATAGTTTCCATATCTGTCCAAGAGCCCTCAACATCTGGCTTGCAGTACCTGAGGAAGTTTCTTTGACGACCAAAACAGACCGTGGCAGCCGTTTAAATGTTATGGTTGTTGATTCAGATATGACGGGAAAAGTAACTTACATATATCCAAGATCCATGATTGCGTCTTGGATAGCTTTCTCGCGATGGCTTTATAGAGTTGAGGAGGCAATTTGCGAAACGGCAAACAAGGTCTTTCCAATACTCAGAACCTTTTGGCAGGACGCTGGGAAATTGAAACTTTGCGTCCCCGTGAAATCTTATGCCATCGCACGGGTTTTTAGATATGCGGAAGAATTTAGCGTTTGGGATAGTGAAAGCAAACAGGACAGTCTTGAAAGACATTTTGTGCGAGGTTCTCCACCATGAAAAAAAATTGTCTAAAGCGTCAAAAGCTTTCAGTGGGCCTTTTGCGAAATCTGGTCACTTGTCAGACTGTTAAAATCTATTAGCTAAGAGTTTCATGGAATAATTATCACCGGTTTTGGAAAGCAGATGTTTCTTATGTTTTAGCGACCGAAAACCTGGTAATTTGAGAGGCCGGAAGTTCAGGAGGGAGACGGAAGCAAAAGACTGAACTAGGGCGGATAAATGTTTGGGCGATGAAACGAGCACTCCGCCTTCAAGTGATGTGTGATGAGGAGTAGGACTGGTATGAGCGCTCTTTCCACTCTTGTGGTGTGTTTGAGGGCCTGCGAAATTTTCCTTTTTTGAAAACCGGAAACCCTTTTTTTCTATCTGTAAGTTTTAGCCCGCGTGGCTGGCGAAGAAAGGAGTAAGGGAAAAGGGGGGTCAAGCAGCACCTCACTGAACGGCTCACACAATTGGCTGTGAAAACTATAGAAACGGTGACATAATAATGCCCCTATCCCTGAAAACAAAAGGCAATATAATATTGTTTTAGTCGATCACTGAAATTAGAGGTGTGAGATATTTGATTAATGAAAAAGGGAAAAGGGAGGGGAGCGCCTCCTATAAGAGCCTGTATTCTTGTATTCCGTCCACTAATTTCCTCACTAATCCGATATACGTGATCAATCACAATTAAGTAGGGGGACGCTTCTCAGCATGGTCCAAACTTAATTTCTTTGTTAACAGGAAATTGTCAAGTCGAGAGGCTTTTTTAAAATGATATCATAATCGTGCAAAATAGCAACATTTTTACTGTTCTTGCTCAGCAAACACGACAAACAGTAAATCAGTTTCTTGAATACAGAAAAAAACCTTTGGTCTTGCCTCATCAAACTCCATAGTCGCAAAGTACAAAACTGTCGCCAGCCTGAAACGCGATTAATTTATGAAAGGGAAATTATATGCATTTGTTAAAAAGCTAAACGGATAATTGTTACCGAAGCTTTAAATCTCTTCTTTACAAAGCATTTCGAAGTTCACTCAAGGCGGTATAAGATTGCGGAAAAGTCGCGTGTCCAGCTTCTAAAATTCGTCCAATAGTTGTAACCTGTGCTCTTGCCTGTGAATATCGGCGTTGCAGATGACAAGAATTGCCTCGAATCGACGCTTGGCGTTTGGAAAAATCCAGTATACCAAACGTCGGGACCATTTGCTAGATCTAAACAAGCTATTACGATTGCTTCTAGTTCAGGTTTCAACATGACTTTCCTACATGATTGGGGTAATATTTTGACCTTCCAAAGCTTGTGCCAGTAGAACACGTTTCCCTTGATTTTGCATCATCGTGGTTTGTTACTAATGCACGTTAATAAGTTACTTATTACAGATCAACCAATCAGAAATGAACAAAAGTGGGCTGTCATAGCAGGCGTCCTTTACCCTCTCTCGCTACAATCTCCCTCCCTCTTTTCCTTCCTCACTAATCTGATATACGTGATCAATCGCAATTAAGTAGGGGGCGCTTCTCAGCATGGTCCAAACTTAATTTCTTTGTTAACAGGAAATTGTCAAGTCGAGAGGCTTTTTTTAAAATGATATCATAATCGTGCAAAATAACAACATTTTTACTGTTCTTGCTCAGCAAACACGACAAACAGTAAATCAGTTTCTTGTGAATCATTCACAAAACCTTTGGTCTTGCCTCATCAAACTCCATAGTCGCAAAGTACAAAACTGTCGCCAGCCTGAAACGCGATTAATTTATGAAAGGGAAATTATATGCATTTGTTAAAAAGCTAAACGGATAATTGTTACCGAAGCTTTAACTCTTTTCTTTACAAAGCATTTCGAAGTTCACTCAAGGCGGTATAAGATTGCGGAAAAGTCGCGTGTCCAGCTTCTAAAATTCGTCCAATAGTTGTAACCTGTGCTCTTGACTGTGAATATCGGCGTTGCAGATGACAAGAATTGCCTCGAATCGCCGCTCGGCGTTTGGAAAAATCCAGTTTACCAAACGTCGTGACCATTTGCTAGTTCTAAACAAGCTATTACGGTTGCTTCTAGTTCAGGTTTCAACATGACTTTCCTACATGATTGGGGTAATATTTTGACCTTCCAAAGCTTGTGCCAGTAGAACACGTTTCCCTTGATTTTGCTTCATGGTTGTTTGTTACTAATGCACGTCAATAAGTTACTTATTACAGATCAACCAATCAGAAATGAACAAAAGTGGGCTGTTATAGCAGGCGTCCTTTACCCTCTCTCGCTACAATCTCCCTCCCTCTTTTCCTTCCTCACAATCCCCTACCCCTTTCGACACCTGCTACGCATGCGCAGACTAGTAATTTAAGCCTACAGTGTGAAACAAGTTAATTTGTTTTCATGGGAATATTGATGAACAGTTTAATTTCATATGCTTATGTCTGTAGCGTACCAGTCAAACTTGTTAGTCGTATATTAAAGCTAATTAAGTTCGAGT